GACCACAACCACTTTGTGTCTAAGCCCCATGAATTTCACCCACCTACAAATGTTGGAGACAGTTTCTCTTCAATATAATAAATCATTTTTAAAGGCTTAAAAGTGTCACCAAACCACACCTGCGTAATCTGTTGCAGGAATCAATTACCCTTATTATTAAAAAAAAAAGTCCTTATTTCTAGTCCATATATCCACGGAAAAGCCAAATCTACTAATGACGCAGCAGCCTAACTATGAGCTGCTCTTATGTCCTGGATTAGAAAGACTAACAGTGAATACTAAATATTCAAACACTGTAATAGGATTTCCAGATATTCAGCACCAAACTCCGCTACCGTGGGGGGAGCTGCAAGCTTTGTACAGCCCTGGCAGCCTCACAAGATTTCATATAACCCCTTACCTGTGGCTACCGTTTTGTATTAAGACAGCACAGCTTTGTCTAGTCTCAGGGATAATAGAAATGTAGCCACAGTACAAATTTACTCCACGATTAAATAAGATCTTTCAATAAGAGGTTAGAATTGGTGTTCAAAATTGATCCCTTCCCCACCTCMTAGGATCTCTGCTCGTCCAGTATCGTTAGTATCCTGCTCAAAAGGCAGCACCAAGAGTCGCCTCCACATCCTTGCTGCTGCAGCGCTTACGGTTATCCCCACGTTTTTTCTTTCTAATGGCTTAAAGAAAGGGAAGGGGATTTGCATAAAAGGAGAGTCATTATCGCAGTCAAAAAAGCATTCCTGTTGTAGGCCTGCCATCTGAATAGAAAGAGAGCGAAGCAAGTTTTCCTACAGCTCCTGATGCTCAAGTCTAAGGCTGACTAATTTATAAACGCAACAAAGTGGAGAGCGGTGGTGATAAGTGAACGAATGTTATCTTAAAGCAACAAGCTCCAGCACTTGCACGTACTACCAAATAGCTACCTAGAAAGCCACATTTTTGCAGCTGGAATTCTCTTTAAAAACTCCCAAATATATCGCGGTGGAAGAATTTATCAATAAAGTCCAGTCACCGGAATGCAAATGGAGCAAATGAACACAAATGCAGAAACCTTCATCACCAAACTTGATGTTTCATGCAACCAAGCCAACCTGTGCTCACAYAGCTACCAAAGGAAACGGGGTCCCCTCAGCTGGCGCCCAGCCCTCACTATGTTCGCTGGGATGGCAGTCAGGTCACTGATCCCAAGCACAGCCAAGATTCCCTCTCCTGCAGGAGGCCCCATCGTCACGTGGAGCAAAGACGGTGGCAGGAACACGCGTCCCTCAACGCACAGCTGCCTACAAAAGACCTTTCAGAAAGGGACTTTCGCCCCAGGTAGGCTGAAAATTGCCTTGGGACAGCAAATAGTTCTGTGGCAAAGGATGGGGATTTAATAAAGGAAGAACGGACCTCATACATCAACGTGTGAGGTCGCTGCGGAGCTTCACAGGGAAGCGCTGAGATGTTCGTGCTCACCCGGAGCTCGCTGCACGATCAGTTTTCTCCTGACACCCTGGTTTCATTGTGTATCTATGAAGGGTAACGCTCCATAACCTTCCAGACTCTTTCCGTACGCTCTGCGAGGGTTGCAAACAAATCCCACCTGCAACAGTGGCGATGCACGGCGAGGAAGGCCAAGCCACCACCACCCCACAGCACCTTAGGCAGTGCCCGCACGTCAGCCCTGGTGCTTGCTGCTTGAGCAAGTCCCTCTTCCTCTGGGCAGGGCTGCCAAGCCGGTGGCTTAGGTTCTGCTGAGGAAGACCCTGGAGAGCAAGGCTCTCTGCTCGCCCTTGCCAGAGGGACCTGGGAGTCCTGGTTGACAACAAGCTAACTATGAGCAGCAGGGCCCCCGTGGCCGAGGAGGCCAGTGGACTCCTGGCTGCATAASGAGGATGTTGCCAGTAGGTCAAGGGAGCGGATCCTGTCCCTCTACTCAGCTCTGGGGAGGCCAAACCTGGAGCACTGGSGGCAGATCTGGGCTCCCCAGGACAAGAGGGACGTGGAGCTTCTAGAGAGGGGCCAGTGGGGGGCAACAAAGATGATTGAGGGACTGGAACATCTCTCATACGAGGAGAGACTGCGTGAGTTGGGCCTGTTTAGCCTGGAGAAGAGAAGGTTGAGAGGGGATCTGATCAATATGTATAAGTACCTGAAGGGGGAATGTAAGGAGGAAGGGGCCAAGCTCTTCTCTGTGATGGCCAGTGACAGGACAAGGGGAAATGARTATAAATTGAAACCCAGGCAGCTCCATCTCCATGTGAGGAGGAACTTCTTCACTGTGGGGGTGACAGAGCCCTGGCACAGGCTGCCCAGGGAGGCTGTGGAGGCTCTTTCTCTGGAGATCTTCCCAACCCGCCTGGATGCCGCCCTGTGCCCCGTGCTCTGGGTGTCCCTGCTGGAGCAGGGCGCTGGACCGAATGATCCCTAGAGGTCCCTTCCAACCTCAGCCATTCTGGGATTCTGTGATACTCGCAGGAGCTTTCGGCAGCTCCAGCCATTCTCCTCAGGAGGGGCCCGGGCTGTTCCCCTTGCCCAGCGCTGTGGCCCCGGCCTCCTCCTCRGCGTGCGGGTGCTGGAGAAGGCTCCAGATGGCACTGCAACATGATTTTCCCCTGCACGCAAGCAAGTTTTCAGCGTTGGAAGAAACACACCGCGGTGAGTTCCCCACGCAGCTGGGGGCTCGTCCCGCACCCACACAACTCAAAATATTAGCGGAGGGCTTCAAATYTACAGAAAGGAATCAGCGGTAGCCTTTTGGAAAGAGCTGTTATTTCACAACTAGCGCATAGAGAAAGAGGTTTCACCAAGAAAAGCATCCAGAAAGTTCCTGCTAACAGTTTCCTAAACAGGGAATGCGCCAGGAAGGTACTAAATAACTGCCCTGATGTGGTTGCAAGCCAAGGCACTCGGTGCTCCCGCCAGCAAGCAGCCTCTCCCGGGCTGGAGCCCTAGCTCCTAACCCTGCCAAACGCTGCGATCTGCAGGTGGGAGGAAACAGCCAGCAGATACCGACGCTAAAAGACAGAAGCATTCGCCCCAAATCTAAATTGAGGCTCCTGGTGATAATGTGAAGAGGTAGCACAAGATGGTGGCAACAGGTAATATTAGAGCTTTTTTTTTAATATATATTTTTATTAGTTACGCCCATGCAATGTTGTTTATAGGAGCCACAAGAATTCAAACAGACACTACAAAGCAGGATTTYGTAGCAGGAGAGCTGCCCTGATAAGCATGTTGTCAGCTGCAGCAGGCAACCAGCAACCAATGGCTTCAGATGGGTTTTTGCTCATAGGATTTTACTTTTGCCAAGTGAATACTACGAAGCAAGTCTTTACATACGTTTGTGTGATTTGTTTGCACGTGTTTCTTTCAACCTAGAGCAAATATGAACATATTTATTAGGCCAGAGCAGTTTAACTGGCAGGGTCTAATCTGCTTTATCATTAAGGCCAGCAGGATTCCTAGCACCGTCTTCTAGAGTTCACCTTCTCCATCCCTTTCCTTGCTGCTTCCTATGTCCCTTAAGTTATAGCTCTGCTCCGGAAGGGACAATCCACCTCCGAAATGACGTACTGCAATCAGGGCTGTAATTTAGCTGCAGGACAGAGAGAAGGGAGAAGCAGGCGGAAAACGAGGCCAGCTTAAACGTGACTGCCTCAAAGGGGCCAAAGTCAAGTCCCGAAAGCAGGAGGCCTTTTYCAAACCTCCCTCTGTCACAATTTGTCTTGGCCCCTCTGTTAGAAAGGGCAGTTTGTTCTTCTCATTCCAGCTCTCGAGACCATAAATGCCATCTCACTGTTGCATAATATTTTRTAATATAGAATATTGCTGCATGGTGCAGGGCGGAAATAAGAGACGGGCACTTATTCAAGGAGCTGGCAGAAGGGAGCAAATACTCCCCCAGGTCTCGTTCCCACTGGAGTCAAGGCCAGAGCAGCCTCGCCAAACAGTGCCCTGCGTGCACAAAAAAGGAAAAACATGGACAAAAATCCAGAAGAGCATTTGTTCCGGAGAGAAGGATAACTGAAGTTAAGAGGCAGGGCCAGCCCGGGGTGCGAGATGCTGCCCGAGGCCGGGTCCCCATGTCAACCTCGCGCCGAGCGGCYGGCGCACCATCGCAGCCCGGCGGGATGCCAGCAGAAGCCGTGCCCCCCTCTTCCTCGGGAGCACAGGAATGTCACTGGAATGGAGCCCGCCAAGCGCCCTGAGCCCCCCCGGGGGAAACGGCAACCTCCAGCTCTTATACTCCACCCCCCAGGAATAGAGCAGTAAGCACAAAAGCAAGTTTATTTGGGGGAATAACCCCCAGATTTCCTAGTTTCCTAACCACAGGCTGTGCGGAATCTTTCCCGGACACCTATGCAGGCTCTCCCCTTTTTTTCCAGAAATTTCTCCTGCCTTCAAGCAGGCAGCAGCCCCAGGTGCCCCACGTCGGGGTCGGCGGCGCTTCCCAGCAGCCCAGCCCCGCAAACCGGGTGCTCCGGGCTCCCCTCTGCCCCCTCCAGCCTTCCCGTTGCCTCTCCCGCAGCAAAAGCGGGCACTGGAGCCCGGGCCGCCCTGCGAACCCAATGAGCGCTCAGCGAGGGGGAGCCGGGGGCGGCCCGACCCCTTCCCGGCGGCACGGAGGACTCCGGCAGCAGCGGGGACCTTCCCGCCCCTCTTCCCCGGGGGGTCTGTGGCGTGCGGGCAGGATGCAGCAGTAGCCCGAAAGCAGCCAAGCTTCTGGAAAACCCAAACAAAAGGCACGTCAGCTGGTGACGTCAGGCCGGAGCCGGCGCCGCTGCGCGGCCGCGCCACATAAGCAAACGCCTTGGCTTGCCCTGCGAAGCTTCCCGGCGAACGCCGCTCCGGGAGCCGCGAGCCGCCCCGCTGCCAGCAACAAGTCCGGCGGGGAGGGCGGCAGCGCGGCGCGCTCGGAGCGCGGCGGCGGCAGCGGGCGCCACGGAGCAGGGCGGCCGGCGCGGCAGCGCGCTCCGAGGGGACGCGCGCAGAGCGCGGGGCTCACAGGATCCGCTCGGTGCTCGGCGGCCGGGGACACSGCCGGGGACACGGCGGCCCGGCACTTTCCCGGAGGCTGCCGCGCACCCGAGCCCGGTGTGGACTCGCCGCGTTGCGTCGGACGCTACGACTGAATGCACCCTCCAATGTGCTCTAAAGAATGGGTAAGTTTGCGCGTTTCTCCCTCTCTCGGCTCACGAACCAACCGCTCGGCTTGAAAGCAGCCAGTAGCTGCTAAGGCARATTTTTTTTTCCTCTCCGAGACGAACCTTATGCGAAAGGTTTTAAGGTTTTCGGGTTGCGAGCCCGTAATCCTCCGTACCAGCGCTAGTGACTCGCTCCGAATCACAATATCCAAGCAGTCAGTCGGTGCTTAGCGTAAAGTTGTCTCTTGCTTTTAGCCTTAGCTTGTCAGAAATGCATGGAAATGTTTTCTGCAGTGCAATCGTCCATCGTGATGTTCAAAGTGTACTGATAAGGATATCCTATCTTGTTGTTTCCTTAAATTATATTCTGCAGGCTTACATTTCGAGTGGCCATTAGGGGCTCGTATGCTGGCAGCACTATATGCAATGAGTATGGTTTTAAAAATGCTGCCTGCCTTGGGCATGGCTTGTCCACCAAAATGTCGCTGTGAGAAGCTGCTCTTTTACTGTGACTCTCAGGGGTTTCACTCAGTGCCAAACACCACTGAAAAGGGCTCTCTAGGTTTGTCATTGAGGCACAATTATATTACTGAACTTGAGAGGGATCAATTTGCGAGCTTCAGTCAACTGACTTGGCTTCACTTAGATCATAATCAAATTTCTACAGTCAGAGAAGATTCTTTTCAAGGACTGTATAAACTTAAGGAATTAGTCTTAAGTTCCAACAAAATCTTTCATTTGCCCAACACCACTTTTAGCCAGCTGCTTAACCTGCAAAATTTGGACCTCTCTTTTAATCAGTTGTCCTCCCTGCACCCGGAGTTGTTCTATGGCCTTCGCAAACTACAAACCTTGCATTTGCGTTCCAACTCCCTGCGGACTATCCCGGTCCGCCTGTTCTGGGACTGCCGTAGCTTGGAGTTCCTGGACCTGAGCACAAACCGCTTGCGGAGTTTGGCTCGCAACGGCTTTGCGGGATTAATCAAGCTGCGGGAGCTGCACCTGGAGCACAACCAGCTGACCAAGATTAATTTTGCTCATTTCCTTCGCCTGAGCAGCCTGCAGACGCTCTTCCTACAGGGCAACAAAATCAGCAACCTGACATGCGGGATGGAGTGGACCTGGGGCACCTTAGAAAAGCTCGACTTGACGGCGAACGAGATCAAAGCCATCGATGCGACSGTTTTTGAGACCATGCCCAACCTGAAAACACTCCTCATGGACAACAACAAGCTGACCACGCTGGAGCCCAAGACGCTGAGCTCGCTCCCGTCACTGGCCATGGTGGGCCTCTCGGGCAACCTGTGGGACTGCAGCGGCAAGATCTGCGCGCTGGCCGCCTGGCTGAGCGCCTTCCAGGGCCGCTGGGAGCACGCGGTGCTCTGCCACAGCCCGCAGCAGGCGCAGGGCGAGGACATCCTCGACGCCGTCCACGGCTTCCAGCTCTGCCGCAACGCGTCGGGCGCCGCCACGGAGGCGCCGCCGGCGGCGCCGTCCCCGTCCCGCGCACCCACCCCGGAGCCGGCGCCGCGCGGCAGCTCGTCCCGCTCGCCCGCGCCTGACGAGGAGGCGCCCACCACGGCGGGCACGGCGGTCACCAGCGCAGAGCCCTTCCCCGAGCCCAGCAACGCCGTCTTCACCCAGCGGGTCATCACAGGGACAATGGCTTTACTGTTTGCTTTCTTTTTTATCATTTTTATAGTGTTCATCTCCAGGAAGTGCTGCCCCCCCACGCTGCGAAGAATCAGGCAGTGCTCAATGATTCAAAACCACCGGCAACTGCGCTCCCAAACGCGGCTGCACATGGCCAGCATGGCAGACCAGGGGCCGTACAACGAGTACGAACCCACCCACGAAGGACCCTTCATCATTATCAACGGCTACGGACAATGCAAGTGCCAGCAGCTGCCCTACAAGGAATGTGAGGTATAATCCGGAGCGGCTGCCGTGGATTCTGAGCGGAGCAGCAACCCGCTCCCCCCACAGAGGGACCTACAGCAGAGCCTGGTTTTTACAAACGTTGACATAAAGCTTAATTTTCCAAGCCGACTTAAGGGAAACATTGTTTATGGAGTGGTGCCGTATTTTTAAGTTTTTTTTTTTAAAGAAATAAACCGAATCCATACTATTTTCAGTGTTTAAGAGGGGAAAAAAAAAGAAAAAACAAAAACCAAGCAATGATTACATTAAATTTGCACTCCTGCTGTTTAAAAGTCTAAAGAGATGCTCACCTTAACCTGTAAAATGTTTCATGTTATGTAATTATATGACTGTGTGTAAACATTTATATGGAAATCTCCCCATTCTACTTTTCCTAAGGGACACGGGCTAAGGAAAGGCTGTCAGGTGGCTGTGCCGAGGGCTGTGCGGGAACAGCCGCTGCGCTTGTTCCGCATCCATCTGCCCCCGATCCCAAGCGTTCCTAGCAGCTCCGTTTGCTTTCAAGGCAGAGCTGGGGGCTGCTTTTCCAGCTGGGAGAAGGGGCTCCGGGGCAAAAGGGGGGGCTGTGAGAAGCAAGCAAGGTGCAGGGAAGGGATGCAAAGCGCAGGCAGAGCGGGGAAATGCCCTTAGATACGTGGTCCTACCTCCGTGACCATAGTTTGGCTTGCTTAAATATTGCCCAAAAGAGAAAAGAAAAAACCCCAGAGGAGGGAGCAGTTTGCACTGTCACGGATCGGGGAGGCCAACTGGCCTCCTGCAGAGCTTATTCCCCCAGGGAAACTCAGCGTGATCCGTGTGAAACATCCGCGGCGCTCAGCTCCGCGCGGCGCCCRCCTTGACTCGCTGCCCCCAAACTAGGCTGGGGCCAACATTATTTCACCACCTTCTCACGTGTAAATACCCTGAACACCCATCAAGGTTGGTTTTTTTCCCCCTTATTAAAAGCAAATATCAATTGCGGGGTTAAAAAGCCGAGAGGAGGAAGGAAGAAGCCTCTCTTTGTCCCCCCTGGCAGCCCTCCCTTCCGCCCTTCCCGGCGCTGGCCCCCCTGCTCTGCCGGGAGGCCGGCGGCTCCAGCGCGGGAGCAGCTCCCGCTGCTTCCCAGCCCCGGGAACGCCGCAAACCTTCCGCGGGCCTCGCCCGAAGGGAACGCACCAGAACCAACTTATAAAGCAGGTCACTGAACAAACGTCCTGCTTTCCAACACGGGACAGAATCTGAGCTAGCACGCTGTTTAAAAAAAAAATATATATATATATATATAAAAATATATATATATTCCTCCCCCTCGCTCTTAAGGAGCGATTCGATTTCTTTACCTAGAAGTACCACATTGCTATTTATACTATATTATGAAATTATATGTAAATATTTGCAGATCTATGCAGAGACGGTGGCACTAAGATGCCACGGGGGTGGGGGGGCCGCAGAGGATCGCATTATTTTTAAGTCAACTGTTCAAGTGTTGGAAACAGTCGAACCAAAGTCAAAAGGACCAGAGGGATGGATTTGATTTTTATACCTATATATAGAGCTGTACATGTATGTATATTTAAAAAAAAAAAAAAACGTGTCGTGTCAAATGCTGCAGTGTTCAACTATTACCAGCACACGCCGACGGAGAAAGGAAATTCCTCACAGTGTTGACATACCTTGAGCAAATCAGTAATTACCGTATGCTAATTATGTGTTGTACCAAACTCTTCGGCAAACTTTCCAAACAGAAAAACCACTGCATAAAAAAAAAAATTTGCTCTTTCACTCTGCTTTTATATATCTGTATTACCACTTTGTGAGGTATTTAGGATGCAACTATACAGCAGTTTGATGTTTGATTGTGAAACGAACTCATCCGGGACAATTATGGTGAGATAAGTGTGGCTTGGGTTCCCATTTTACATAAAGGGTTTTCAATATCTGCTTTTGAGGATATTAATTGTGCTCATCATCATTCTGCTTTTCCACCAGAGTGCCCTTATGCAAATTAATTTGCCCTTAAAGCAAATATTTTCTTGTTTATTCCTGCCCTTCTCTACTCCAAGGGAAAGGATTCGGTCAACTTTTTCCCTAAAAATAGCTTTAGCCCCCACAGAGGTTCATGATAGGGAAAGACCTTACACTTGTTCCCCTAAGTGACAACTTACAGCTGACGACAGTGAAGTGGGCAGCGAACGGCTGCGCCGTGCAATCAAATCCCCTGGGACCATGCAAGCCAAGCCCAAGACGGGCAATATCTTTATGCAAAGAAAGGAACTGGCATCGAGCTGCTTGCAGAAAGAGCCGCTTGATGCCCCACAAGGAGGTGGGCATGAGCACTGTGGCCACTACAACCTACGCGTGCCGGGCCCTTCCCACCCCTGGCTTTGACTGGCCATGCTCCGCAGGGCTGCGGAGGGCAGAGCCATTTCGGGAAGGATTCACAGGCACCAGGGGCACATGAGCAGAGCTGAAGTTGTAGCCGAGCTCCTCAGTTCTGCTGACAGGGGCAAGCAGAGCATTTTGGCTATGAGAGGGCACAACCGAGCAACGAGAGGGGCCCCTCGTTCCGACGGTGCCTGCTCAGCACACAAGCAGCTTTATTAGCTCTTAATTACGCCCCACGAAAGTAAGGCAGATGTTCCAGCTGATGGGCAATGCTGGGTGTAACCCTCTTCTCTGCCCTGTCCCTTAATCCCAACTATAACCCACTCTACCAACCTTATCCAGGCAAATTCCATGGCTCCAGTGCCTCAGAGCAAAGGGAAAAGCAGAGGCCCGGTGTCTCTTCCCTGCAGCACCTTCACTTCCATCTGGATCTGGATTCCTTTCCATGTGGATCTGGATGAGATACCCTGGATCCAGCCCAGCAGCACCTCAATGGCTTTTCCTTCACAGGGCCACGTGGCACGTTTAGGGGGCCAGAAACCTGGCCGGAGGCCACACGCTGGCAGCAAAGACAACCCCAACTGCCCCAGAGGGACCCAGAACTGCAGCCTGAGCCACCGCGCCACACAAGGACACCACCAGGGGCTCATTCCTTTCCACACTTCCTCCGTCTTCCATTTCCAAGCACTTGCACCTCTTCCATGCCCCACAGGAATGCTGGTGCTGCTCCRTGCGGTGGTGCCGAGGCCATTTTCGCATGGAAAACAACCCAAGGTGACTTGGTCTCAACTGCCTGCATCTCAGGGCAAACACCAACACCAAGAGCTTGCTAAGGGGCTCTCCCAAAACACGAGCCAGGGCTGCTCTTGCCCCCTTTTTTGCTTTATTTTGCCCCAAAGCGGAGCTTGTGTCTGAGTTTTCACAGCCCAGCCCATAGGCCAACCCACGTGCTGCAGCTGATGCCCGYTCACCTTGCAAGGCAGGGGGCCTGTTGCTAACACGGAGCCAGGGGCTTTAAAGCAGGATTCGGTGCTAAACGCTCAGCTTGGGGTAGTCCTGAACATGCCGGAGTTAATTCCTGCGCCACTCCAATGAAAATGAAGTTGATGCGGGCTTGGATCTGCATAGCTGTTAAGATCCATCTGTTCAGACCCATGAAATCTACCCGGAAAGCGAGATTTCATCTTTCTTATGAATTTTTCCATAAAAAAAATGAGGCTTCAGAGAGGAATGCAGCATTCCTGCCCTCCAGGAGGACAACAAGGAACAACSAGCCAAAGCGAGGGGCAGTTGGGCGGCAGCTGCTTCCTCCCCACATCCTTCCTCCCTCTAAAGTCGGGGCCAGACCCAGGGCCCCAGGATGGGGCTGCTTTTTGAGGAAGCCATTTAAGGGCTGTTTCACAGCCAGACATTAAAACCACACACACGGTTTCCTTTCAGCATCACGGCGACATCAGTGAGGGAACTATTCTGCCAGCTTAGTGAGCAGAGACAGGAAAGGGAAGGCCGACGGTTGTTGTGTTTGTGTTTCAAGAGCCAATTTCTGGCGGAGGGGAGAAGGGTGTAAGTAACGGAGTAAAATGAAGTGCTGTGTACATAAATTTTGGTATTAAATCTGTGTATAGTGTAAAACCGGGTTTGCCTCTTCCTTGCTCAGAAAGGAAGGTCGCAAAGAAATGACAGGACTGAGCCCTGCGTGGTACTTTAGGGACACAGTGACAACCTGCAAGGAGCAGCTGGGGCCAGGCCCGGTGCCCCCTGTGACAACCGCAGCACTCGGTTCATCCGTCGGGTCGCAGAGCGGAGCAAGGGGGACCGTCCCCTGGGATCGGGGCACTCTGGGACACCACCCAACACAGCAAGAGGCTGAGAACCCAAAAAAGAACAAGTTCCAGGCAGCCAGGAGACGCTCATCCCCATCTGCACCAGCAGCTAAAATTAACTGCAGTAATTAAGCTTTAGCTGCATGCACTTTTTATTTTATTTTTTTGCAAAAGGCTTAGCTGAAACGTTTAGTTTGAAATGCCGCTTGGCTACCTGTTCCTCTCATCCTTCTAATACTCGGGAGAAATTCATGATAAACCCGTCTATTGGAAAACAAGAGTTTTGTTTTCATAAGGTAAGACATGTAAGCGTGTGTGGGGGGGGAAATCAGTATTCTGAAAATACGATGCAATTCCTTTAAGTTCAGATACTAAAACAGCAGTATCACTAGCAACAGAAACCAGGTAATCTCAGAGAATCCAAATAAGACACAGAGACAAATAAGACAAAGAGACAAATAACTGCACAAATGAACTGAAAACTCAATATTTGGGAAAGTGTTGATCCTCTCCTAAGYATATATAGGCTAAGGAACAAACTTCAGTCCAAGTGCTGGTTCACCATAAAATCTTGAAGTTAATATTTACTTTACTCTTACTTTAAGAGCTGTTGTGAATCCACTGCTGTCCAGTTAACACCTTCTAGTATCCTAGTATCCTAATTGCCATTAGATACTAGATATCCTAGTATCTAGTATCCTAATTGCCATTAGATACTAGGAAACCATTACCCTGTACTGTATTAAAGTACTGTCACAGGTGACATCACGGGCCATGGATTTGGGGATTTATCCCATGTATTCC